TTGGACCTCAAAATTCTTATTCAATTCTCTTATTATTTATAATAAAAATTCATTGATTTATTTAAACACGATTTCTATTTGTCTTAAACACATATATTATTTATATATTTATGTATTTTACTTTTTTTCTCTCTTCTTCTGCAGTCATTATAATTTCAAATCTCAGATATGAATGCGATTCTGGGGTTTATATCAAATGTTTTATGCATTGTATGAGTGATTAGTTTTAAACATATTTAACGAACCGATTGTAAAATAAATGAGACAAATCTCTCTCATAATATACTACACATAAAGCCTATCCGTACTCTACTGTACATCAGTTAACGTATAATTATTTTACAATTACTTATGTAATCATAATATATAATACAATATACATATTGTCATATTATGGCTGTGAATATATTTGTTTTTTCATGTCTTTCAATAGCAGTATTATTTCAATGAAATAGCCTTTTCTAACGTTTATATGCGGTAACTCAGTTTACACACAATTAATAAAATTAATATCACATAAAATTAGCATTATTTTGATGTTTTAATTCTGGTAATTCTTTATTTATATGCTAATGTCGTTGTCAATTGGCGGTATTAGAAGTGATAGAAACTATAATTGCGTTAACAATAATGTATTGACAATTGTGTCAAGAGTTTTGGAAATTTAATTTTGTACTTTTAAATGTTGTATAAAATTATAATTAATATATGCATTGAGAAGGCATTGATGGACAGCCAGACAGACAAACAATAACTAATTTATATGAGCAGTCAATTAGATTTAACAGTAGTTTTAAACTAAATAAAAACACATAAAATGTTATAATAAAAACTCTCTATAAGTGTTAGAAATTCACAATAAAAAGTGTACTAAACTTTAAATTAGTCTCAGATTTAACGCATTTATTGAATTGTTTATTGTATTGAATGTTCATTAAAATAAAGTATCGACATTTAAATATCAATACACTATATATAGACATTAATTGCCGTTATATTTAAACTTCATTATCACAAACTTTACATACAGAGTATATTGCCTTAAATGATATACAATTAATAGTAATGGCATTTAAATTTAGGATAAATATTAGATAATTCTTGTTGTCATAGACTTTACTGTATTTATAGCTAAATATCATTTCATGTAAATTTAATATTGAAATGATTCATACATTACAATAATTATATAAGAATTTCAATCATGTTTTATAATAATAGTAATGCAATACTTAAATGCAAACATTGTTTTATAATTATGAATAACTCTTTGTTAACTACATTATCAATCAGTCTTTACTTGCAATCACTTGTTTTATTAAATGGTTTATAAGACTTATTAACTCAAATATAATTAAAAATTGTGAATAAATACATCATATTATATGCTATTCTCGTAATTCGTAATACATTTAATGGTATGAATTAAATGTCCCAAAATCTAGTGCCGTCTCAATACAGGTATAATTAGAGTATAAAAAAGAAGCTTTCAATTGAATGTTATCTTTCAATCTGACCACTCGTTTCGGTTTGAAGTGGTGTCCAAAAAGTGTGTAAAAGATATTCATAATTAATGGTATAATAATTATAGACGAGTACTAAACACATGACAATTACTGGACAATCAATACAACAAACTGTAAGTCAATTGTTGTTTCAAACGGAGCGCCAAATCGAGTGTTGTATACAAAACACCCAAAACTTATAGCAATTGTCATAACGACTGAAAAGCGCTTTAATTGTAAACAAAAAACAAATCACAAAAACTGATCATTAGATTAGATGTTAATTGCATTGATATCTGAGACCGCGTTTTGTTACACCATTTGCTGACAAACCTAACAATGCATTCACTGATCAACGCTTTCAATGTCTTATTGATCGCTATATTTGTGTCCACAAACTTCGCGGTCGACCCGACCGGCGCTCACCGGCAACAGTCTATCGGTGATTATAACTACTGAAACATTTAAACCATTGATTGTCTTATATTTAACGATAATCTTATCTCTTTAATAATAGCGGTCATCG